GTGTGTGTGTGTGTGTGTGTGTGTTACCTTGAACAGGAAGCCAGGAGGCATGTCTGCAGTCTCTGATGAATCTTGTGTTGATTCTGCTGCTGTGGTGGGAGTCTGCAGGTGTGATACAAAAAGAGGCAAGAATTACTGACAAGGCAAATAAAATTAGGCACTTTTTTCAGAACACATCTTCTGATATAGTGCGGAGAAATTGTGTGTTCAGTGGAAAGATTTTTGCATCCCTCAAACACTTGTTATTTACTCATTTGTTTCACATTTTCTAGAAATCTAACAGCAACATTTCTACTCCATACTCAGATTCATCCCTCTTCACACACCTCCTCTGCTACTGGTTCTTCTTCTTCTGCTTCAGGCTCAGGAGGTGGTGCTGAGGAATCTCTCTGAAACCAGAAAAGCAAGAAGCATTAGGGGATTTCAAACGGAGAGAAGGAGTAGGCCATGAAAGACGAGGAAATAATGAACGGGTGAAGACGTAAACGAAACAAGGACAGACAAAAACACGAGCCAAGAAGTCTATAACCTAAGCTCCACCACAGGAGGTAAGATAAAATAAGTTGCATGATTCATTTTAAAATGCTGTTGCATACCAACACTGTTTATCAGCAAAAGAAACCAACTGTTCAGTTGAAAACATAATCTCTTTTATTCTATTTCAGCCTGACCTCTTCAACCTCGGCTGATGCATCTACACCCCTGGTCCAGATGCATCCTAAATTATTCCATGTCAACATGTATTTACAAAATACATTTACTTAGTTTCTGCATGCTCAATTCTCCTTGTTAATGGTTGATGCATCTACTGTTTTTGTCCAGATGCATCTCTCCATTTTCTTACGTCCGCAGTTACCTGACCCTCTTTTTCATCCAGCTCGGGAGCAGCTGGACTGTTGTCCTCCTCAACCACATCAGACGGAGCCTCGTCAGCAGGTGTTTCAACTGCAGCTGGCTCCTCTTTGACAGGCTGCTCTAATTCGTCACCCCATCCCTCCTGGGCTTCTTCTACTGTATCGTAGTGAGCCGCCTGGCTCCCATCGTCCTCCCATCCCTCCTGCGATGCAGTCACAGGGTCATAGCGAACAGGTTGGGTCCCGTCATCCCCCCAGCCCTGTGAGACTGCTGCTATGGGATCATAGCGGATGGGTTGTGTACCATCGTCACCCCAGGCCTCTGTAGCAGCAGCAACAGGGTCAAAGTGCTTCTGAGTTTCTTCTTCCTGTGCGTCAGCATCCTCCGACTGAAGGGTAAGGGTCAGGTTTCAAGTGGTCAGAAGAAAAGAACAAGTTTTTTTTTTTTTTTCTATACGCAATGAAGGCTGTTAAAAATCAGATGGATATTAAATATTAAAGTGAGGTCAGGATAATTATTGACATTTTCCATGAGTTTGCAGGAAAAAGAACAGCTTAATTAGTTAAATAAAACTTATAAGATCTACCAATTGCAAGGATTTTTACAGAAACCCTCAGGGGATGTGGGTAAAAATAAAAATAATAGCAAAAAAAAAAAAAAAAACAGTTGATCTTCATGCACACCAGATATAATAAATATAAAATGGCTGCATAACTTTACGAAAATATGAATTTGATAATGTCATCTAAAAAAGACTCAAAGAAGACAAGGTAAGTTATATCTCTCATCAAATTTAATATTATTCTCTCATGTGCTTCAAATACAAGAAACCAACATATTTTTTTTTACCCATGTTCCCTTAGGGCTTCCGCAGATTTTGTTCAAAAGTCAGGGTTAAACCCTCTGTTCAATGATGACTGCAGTACCAATATTATTCAACCCCATGAAGAGATTTCTTTATATAGATAACATTTTCTTAATTTGTTTATTGCAAACAGCTTGAAGTTTACATATTTTACCAATAAAGCAAATGAAGGTTGAATAATTTTAAATGCAACTGTACAAAAAAGAATGTAGGAGCGAGATCTAATATAGAAAAAGGGTTCAAAAGGGTTGGGTTATTGCTTTGTTTCCAAAAAAGTTGCACACTGTGGTGAAAGCATAATTCATCCTCAAAGTTAAAAATTTGCCCACAGTTAAAACATATTATTTGTATATTAGAGGGGAAAAGATGATGCATTTGTTTCGGTTCAATGTAAAATCTGACAAAAACTTTTTGTCTACTTAATTCATGCAAAATAGGAAGCAAACTAGCAAACTAAACTCTACCGTTTTGCATTCTTGCAAATTAAAAGAACAAAAAGATGAACATTTTGCACCTTTTGCTCATTTCCCACAGATTTAAAACTTTTTGGAAACATGGTTGTATATAGTCATTGTCAAAAGAGGAGTTTAGTATATAAAAAAAAAAAATCAAACAGTAAGTAATGAGGTTAATACTTTACATACTTAAAGTCTTAAAAAAACATTATTATTAATAATTTATAATAGAAGAAATTCCGCACAGAACTTTTCAATTTATCTGCATTATTTTAATGTGGCACAAATTAGTTTTGCAATTTTTAATTGCAGCAGATATAAGGATACCAATATATGGTTACAAGAACTTAGCATAAAGTATTAACCTTTACAGATATTGCTCAGTTATAACCAAAGGTTAAGGAAAAACAGGGAGGGCAGCAGTAACAAGCAGAAATACAAAACAGAAGTATTGTTTCACCTCCAAAACAAATGTTGAATATTTGCATTGCAGGTATGGTCTTAGTGCCTTTGTATCATCAGAACATTTCTGAAAAAAAGCTTGCTCTATCTTTAGTTCTGATATACAAGTACACAATGATTTTTGAGACACATCTCTTTTTACAGTGGCAGGATTTTAAAAAAGGGGCTAGTTGATGGTCACATGGTCTACCAACACGCAAGGCTTGGGGAAGCTGCTTATGAATTCTTGACAAGCAATTTGGATGTGAGCAACTTCACTAAGCTTTTATAAAAAAAAAAAAAAAAAAAATCACAATCCATGTGTGTCACATGTGAGCATGAAGGTCAAGTGTTACATGTTTAGTTATAAAAACATGTGAACACACGAGGATATGAAGGAAAACCAAAGAAAGGAGGGAATTCAGTTACAAATTCTTCCAGACCACACAGATTAAGAACTACATCTTTTTATATTGAAATAAACAAGCGATGTCTGAGTTTTAGTCTCGTACACATTCTGTATTTTATCGCCATGCTGTCAAATCTGAACATGAAACATGAAACTGCACGGTGAGTCACCCACTTTACTGCTAGTCAGTATTCTGTCAATTTGAAACTGAATTGACTCGAGCACATTCCCAAGTTCAATTTGTGTTGCAAAGCAATTTCTTCAGTGTTTTGTTACAACATTGAGCACAAAGACAAAACTCACACAGATTTGGGAAAAACAAGCGAGACCAAAACATGGAAAATGTTTTCTTATACCAAAAGGAAAAATGCAAAAGAAACACAATGGAAAAGACATGGGTGTGACTTGTGAATGGGTTCACAACATTAATTAACTCATTGCTACTTCATAGATACATCTTCAAATCTTTCTGTAAGTAACAATTTTGAGCACATTCCATATTTTCTTTATAACCTTTGCACATTTTATGCTATACTTACCCATGAGTCCCAGTTAGTCGGCTGTGGAAAATAGAGAGACAACATGAGCACGACAGTATAATTTTTCATAACTTCTGTTGAATTTAATGTAAAACTTGCACAGCAGGACCCATGCTCTGAAACTACAAGCCCACAGCACTAGATTTAAGAAGAAAATAAAATAATGTAGGGAGCTCTAAATCATGGAGGATTAATCACTGCACGCATAAAAAAAAAGGGTTTGTACAAAATGTGTCAACGACAAAGCCTTCTGGAGCGTTACACAATAATCCAGAAATTCAGAGTACACCTTTTGACTGGTTCTGCTTTCCTTTATTGTTCTTATGATGACGATAATTATTTTTCTGATGCTTTAATCTGTCAATTAAGTTTCTTGTTAAGCTGAAGCAATTACTGCGTTCTATTCAGTGTAAATCATTGCAGTGGAACGACTTTGTTTCACCCAAAATGGTGAAGTCTACACTATCTGTCACGGAAAATCTAAAGTTTCTGAACAGAGGCTTGATACAAACAATCTTTATATTCAAACCAGCATTTAATCTTCATGATTTCCACACCTCAAAACATTAATTAAGATAATATGCATTTTTTTCAGACAGAAAATCTCAATCAAATTTCCTTGTATTGATCGCTAGAACGATAATCTATAAATATAAATAACCAGTATCTATTGGTGACACTACCGTCATATTAGACTTGTCCAGTACTAAAGAGAAACAAATGACATCACAGCAGGGCTACACTCTGGAGTTCATGCCAAATGTGATCCGTGGATATAGTGCCAAAGCAGAAAGAAGTGGTCACTAGAAGCAGGTCTAAAAAGATCGTCATGCCATCATCCACCTTGGGTTTAGTTGTTTTGGAAAGAAACAGAGCAGGCAAAAACCTCAAACTGTGCCAAGCTTACCAAGCAATTTCATATTCTATCAGACCTGTCACGCTAATTCAGTATATTTTAGGTCAACTGCCATTTGCACAATATGTAGAGCATTTAATATGTCACCAAAAGTTGAATATTTATTTGGCTGACATCTTTAATCGGAACAGCAATGTGACAGTGGATGAGTCCATTCATAAATACTGTAAAATAAACTGCAGGGGAATCTGAACAGAACATGAAATTTCTTGTAAAGACTGGCACTTCTTACGGTGGAGGTCTCTACGATCGCTATGTTCATGCCATGAATGGTCCACCTGAGAGACTGTGGAGACTTTGGCTGCTTCACTGAAACACTCCAGGTCCATATCCAACAGGTTGTTGACTGCAGGACTGTCAAACTGACAATGACAGGAACAGGAGCACTCATTGGCTAACTGGGTTTAAAGTTCAACGACTTAGGGAAATATAATAGAATATGTTTTTGGGAGGCCAGGAATTAATGGCTGGCTCTTCTGTCCTGGAAAAGAGGAAAGTTAGAGGGCTGGTTTATGGTTAATTGAGAGCTGCTACTCACTTACCTCTGTAGGAGAGGTGACATTGATATCAGGAGTTGCTGCAGCATCAAACAGGTTGATGATGTTCTCAGTTTTTAGTTCCTTAGATGGGGTTACCTTAGGTGGCGGAGGCACTGCTGGTCTTAACTAAAATTTAGAAGATAAAAGAGCACTTTTAAATTCCCCTGTAGGGTGTCGGTTTGTTAGGTCTATAAGCTCCCGAACTCAAATAACATTTCTCCTCTTCTCCTTCCTCTTTAATTAAGAAATCACTACATAAGTTCATGAATCACATTACAACAGGAGACTTTGCTATTTCTCCTTTCATTCCACAAGTTCAACATTCTATGGTTTAGATAACCTTTTNCTACNTCTTTTTCCTTTTTATCTCGTGTTATTTTTTTTTATTTCTTGGTCACTGACACAGAAATTATCTATTTTTTATTACGGTCTACAAGCATGAACACAATTGAAAATGAAAAATTGTAAAAGAAAAAAAAATCAATATTATTTGCCCTTTAAAAACAGCAATATTTCATGATGATACTTTCAGGCCCAACTCTTTCAACTCTGAGAAGGAAACATCTGCGAAAATTCACCTTGGATGGGGATTTGGGGATTGGAGGTGGTCCTCCTGGTCTGAGAGTGTGGTTAGAGTCCTCTCTTTCACTAAGAAAAAAGGACATGAAAAAGACAATAAGAAAGTATAGAGGTTGTAGTGGCAAACAGCTGCTCAGCAACAAGAAAGAAAGTATTGAACAGCTTTCAAAAGTTAAACCGACTTGAGGAAGATAGCAGGGCATGCTCTACAAGAGTCCAAGCAGAACATGTCACTGTAAAAGCTGTCATGCAAGAAAAGTGAGCATCCGTTCTCGCCGTCCGTCTCCTACCATGCAAGCAGACTTGGTGCCTCCAATAAATCCTTATGTGTGAACAGTGTGAGATGCATTTGCTGTTGTAGGGAAAATATTCTGCCGCTGATAAACAAAAACTCCAAGCTTTAGGTTATTGAAGAGCCGAGCATACACTTGCACATCACTGCTGCAACAGGCAACATTGTCCAGTCGTCATTTCAAAAGGCCAGCCAAGATGCATTTTTGAAAAACCTGTTGCTATAACACTTGAACAGCAACAGCTGAGGAGATTATTCGCTATATATATAAGTTGACAGTCGGTCCCATCCACTTGGTGTCAGTCAAAGTTATTAACAACGCAATAAACCTGGAAACGTCTTAAAGTCATCAAATCTCTAAATGTAGTAGCATAATAAGACAGATAGAGAGATAGATGCTTATATTTTATTGTTTGAGATACATTACCAGATCTGATAATGTTATAAAGTAATTCACTGAGGCGTTTTCCATGTAATAGGAATGTAACAGCTGAGGAGTTTTTCCTCACACACACCTTTAGGTGAAGCTCTGCCAACACCATGGAATCATTTCTTTTCAGTTGTATTATTTAAGAACCTTCAAGTCCCATTTGGGGAGAGAAGCAACATCTTCAGGATTTATTATTGCGGTCCGTTCTTGCCTGTTGTGGCATCAAATAAACATGTGCAGGTTTTGCTCTGCTCCTTTTCTAGCTCCAGCTCCAAGCACTCAACTTTCTCATTATGTGAAATCACTACCACAATCAAGCATTGGTTTCCCTGATATTACAGACTGCAGACTGACTGACATACACCAGCTGTACAGACAGGTCAGGTTAGAAGGACAGACAAACATTGTGTCACCGCTGTTACCACAACTGTTGCCAGTTACCTCCTGCTGGGTCCTGACGATGCTGTGCCAAGGTCACTAGTCCTTCTGAAAGGGGAAGTTAAGGTAAGGGGGTTTCTGGGTTACTGCTTGATTTTCCTTTCTTCGCAGTGCTAGATGTATTTATTAATGCTATCTATTTTTTTTTTTCATGTTAAACCAAAATAAAATTCAGGTGTCAGTTGACACATATGGCAAGATACGTGCCTTGCGTAAGATATGTGTCGGGTAAGACTGAAATCAGTCGGTCTTACCCAGTTGATTTCTTTGTGAAACTTCTCTTCACGTTAATCATGTAATAACCTCATTATCCATAAACATTTATCAAACAAGCAACAAGGTCTAAAAAAAACTGATTTATATGACACAAACCACTAATTATTGTGCTGGGTAAAAGACCAGCCAGAGTTTTTCATCTATCAATGGTCAGGAATACAAAATCAGAGATATACTACCCTGAAAATGATTACTCCGATACGGTTTTCAAAACGATTTGAGCTGCCAATCTAAATCAAGGAACAAAGCAATGCTTCTTGTCAAAAAATAAAAATAAATTAAAATTCTTAAATTCTCTCAGGCATAATCTAAACTGCTTGTACTACATTGACACTTGTTTGGTTTTATTTATTAAAGCCTTTTAAAAAATGCATGCTGGCAGTATATTAGGGTACTTAGCTTTCCACAAACCTCATTTTGTTTTATCTTTGTTAATAAATGAGGCCACAGCAGAATCTGTTTCTCATGCTTGAGCTTTGGCTTAAACTCATTTAGAGGTCACCAGTTTATTTGCTACAAATAGGGCCAACTTGAACCAATATTTCCTGACACAGAGGTCAAGCACACAGTAAATTGAGGGTGTATTTTCTTTTGATCCGTGTATACTGTTTCATGATTGTTGCTCATCAAACCCACTAGAAGGCATTTAGGAGTTTTATTAAAATACGAGGAACCAACCTGGTTGTGTCGCTGTTCTCCAATTTCTCCAACATATCATGCAAATCCTGATCCAACTGCAAATATATCAGAGAGTGAAAGTGTGAAATGCGACATGCAACACAAAAAAGTATTTCATAATTCCAAAGTATTTTGCCTCATGTGACACCAGTATTACTATGTTGTGCTTTTTTTCTCTTCTCTTTTGTATTTTCTGACAATGTACTGCCAAATGTAACTCCCTTTATTTCCTTGCCTAGTTTTCAATGTTCATTAGACACTATTTACACATTTCATGCTAAGACAGAAGAATAAAACCTGCAGACACTTCAACATGTCTAGATCAACTGATGCGAGACTGTTTCTGTCTCACGTAGTCAACATTTTCCATTACCTACCACCTGATATACTGTGTCAGTAATCTAATCCACTCCCGTATCCACCCTGAGCCCTGTCTGTACTGGAGGTCTGTGGAAGGGTCTTACCCGACTGATTTCCTTGTGAAACTTCTCCTCAAAGCCCGCCAAACTCTGGAAGGTGCTGACATAAAATCCAACACGACTGGAGAAAGCAGAGAGAGAAAAAGATATTAATGTCACTGCTGAATCCAACGTGGGTAACTGTAGCATTGATATTTGGTTGGTATCTTAGTGAGCAAATAAAACAATCTAAACAGGCACTTGTATGCAGAAAAATTACACACCTGTTCCAGAGTGAAGGTAACTCTTCTTGCAAGTCAAGATTAATCTCCTCAAACACCTTCTGGGCTCTTTCTAACTCTTCCTCAGCCTGAAATACACAAACAAACAAGCAAACACCCACGTTGTTGGCTAAGACGTGTTAACTTAATTATGTTTTTTTCACTCATGCTGCATCCCTGGCAGCCTCGTGAACAGTCTAAGCTTTTCAAATGTATTTGTTTGTATGTATTAAATATATATATATATATATATTTCTTTTATTATTTTAAAGTACTACCTGCTGTAGTCTCAAACTCGGTCATGGTTATTACATCACAATGTAAAAAAAAAAAAAAGTCACGAATACTATTGCACCACGTTTCTTCCATGGCGTTCATAAGAGGATTTTTCAAATCTCAATAATGCAGCTGCAATACAACTCTGATTCCTCATTATGTATCTGTTGACATAGGAGTGGATACACTGACAGCAGACACTGAGGTGAAATGTTCACAATACTCTTTAACTGCATATTACATAATCCTGGAAATGTCAATAACAAGAAGTGCTGCACCCAACCAGATGGCGGCTGCAACTTTCCATCCACTACTCATGCACACAGTCATACTTGCTAATAGTTCATGTGATTTTTTATTTTATTTTTATAAATTATACAAAAACAATATGCACTCATTATTCAATGGAGAATTTATCTAGCACTTTTTTTTTTTAATTTTTAATAGTAAATCAAGTTAATTCCAACTATCTGATATCAGTATTTGTATAAGGACTCGTTCATCACTGATTTCTTTATAAAGTAATCTCACTGTCCATAAACTCTACAGAGTACCTGGCTCTTGGAGAGACTGGTCTGAGCAAGGTTGTGTGCAGACAGGATGCCCTGAGCCCAGCCTGGAGTGGCTCTTTCCAACAAGGTGGACGGCTAAAAAAGTGGAAACATATTTACGTATTAGCCTGTGTTCATTTTATTTGCAATCTATGTTGAAACACATAAATTACATTTACCTTTGTAATTTTAATGCCTCCGTCTTTTTTCTTAGTCTTATGTGTAGCAGCATAGTTATGTCTGGCACTGTCGTAATCCACCAGTTTCCTGTCTCTCTTTGCAATGCGAGCCTGAAAGAAAGAAAGAAAGAAAAAAAGAAAGGAAGAAAGAAAGAGAGAAAGAAAGAAAGAAAGAAAGAAAGAAAGAAAGAAAGAGAGAAACCACAGTAAGTGTTGAGCTGCAGACAGAACCTTCATCAGTACAAGTTTTACTCTTTACTTGGATCTCAGTTTAGTAAAATATGCATAGCCTGCTTTATCTATAATACTCTGGGTTTACGAATTACATTCAAATCAATCCAGGGTGCCAGTGGATCGGTGACTAATGCAACGAATCCTGGGTTGAGGTCATGAATTCACAGCTTACCTTAATATCAGGGAACTGACCCAGGTAGGTATCCATGGAGATCAGAGCGTGATCAACCAACTTCTGATGGTAATCAGTCCAAAGCACATCACAGTCCTGCATGATGGATTAACATGCACGGTCATTAACAATAACAGAAGGCATGCCGTTAGAATCTAATATCAGTGTTGCACATTTACAAAGTCATGAGGAGCGGCATGGTCAGTCTTTTTTTTTTTTTTTTGATAATGTTTTATTGTATGTGGGTTTTAAAATGCTAAGAAAAAGAACTAGATTGTAAAAATAGCTTAATTTTTCACGAATTCTTCTGCCTCTCCGCTGTTCATTTAGGTCAGACTTCAAAGAGGCGTTGTTGATCCCTCTTGTATTTGCTTTTAATATTTTGATGTAAAACACAAAGTTATTTATTTCCCCTCTATCATTTTAAACCAAACATGCATTGGGAATCAGGGAATCACGCTATTGTTAATAATACTTTTCTCTTGAAGTGCAGGCATGCTTAAGGTGTGTAAACACTCCTAGAGCTGCTCTTAAACACATTAGAAAGTTATCAGTCCATCTTCTTTACTTCACCAAAGAAAACACATTGCCTTGTTCAAATTTAAATTGAACAAAAATGTCAAACATCAGATTTTATTGAACCATCTATTCCACCCTGACAATGTTTCAACCACTTTTAGTATCCAAATTTCCTTTCCTACTGTGTCGTTTAAATACAAAGCATATTTTCCTTCTTTGCGTTTTAACTAAGGGGTGAATAAAAGTCATGCTACAGCTATGTTGCTCTAGCCTTGTACAAAAAATAAATGCAAGATCAAAAAGTGGACACCCCTTCTATTTTTCCTGATGTAAATATTTATTTTATTGCTGTTTAAAGCCAGAGCCAGTCCAGATTATTCTAAAATATATTGTAGTACTGCTGCTACATTTTAAGACCACCATGTTTCATTGCTTGATCCTTTTTTTCTCTCACAGTAAGCACAAATTCTTACTGCTCGATAAAATTATATTTGCAGTGATCTGTGGCGTACATTTTCTTAGTCTTTATCATTGCTATGTTTAGTATTACAATATTGTAAATGCTGTAAAAATGATTCATAGAATATTATGCTGCTAAATAAATACAACTAAAATGAATGCCCCATGTATTTCTAGCCACCTCTGCTTTACACTGGTTTTTGCAGCTGTTGCTAGCCAGAATCTTTGTCGTAGCCAGCAGGATAGATTTTTCACACCTAGTCTGCTAATGTTAGTTCTGACCTCTGAGTGAAAAGAAATCCATCCCCTCATGCAGACACAAAGACCATTGTGGTGTACTTCAGCACAATAAAGAAAAATCATTTCTGACCTCCAGAATAGAATCCACTTCATTCTTGCCATACCAGTCCGGCTCATACATGTCACCTAGACATGCCTGTAGATTCTTGGAGGACTCGTGCATAGCTAAAACACATGAACAAAAAGCAAATAAGCGGAAGTGATTTTTTTCTTTCCCCCAATGATGGTCAGACTTGCTTGACTTGGATGGATGTGACCGTACCTCTAACTGCCTCAAGGTATGCTCTTAGGTCCCTCTGGAGTTTGCTGCCTTCAGTCTGAGGATGAGGTTTAACATAAGTCCATAGTTAAAATATGTGTTACAGCTGTTTAACTAATGTTGCACTGATTTATTCAGTAACTTGCACATATAACGAAGTGTATGCATGTAGGCTCACATATTGCTTGTTGAAGTTGATGACCCACTCCTCAAAAGCAGCATCTTTGGTCTCATCTGCTTTGCCAAGCTTCTGTAGAACCTGTCAAACAAAGAAATGAGTGATCAAAACCAGGGAAATGATAACATTAGATGGATCAGTAAACATAACATTGAGAGGGCATGTAACCACCACAAACCTCGATGCATTTCAATTGGATTTTATGTAATTGACAACACAAAGCAGCATATAAATGTAGAGTGGAAAGAATAAGAAAGATATTTTCGAAATGTAAAAAGAGAAGAGCTGAGCTACACTTGTGCGCTCACAAGAACTGACTATGATGGATTGTATCGTCATTTTTTCTGTAATTACAGCTGCAAATTCTCTGCAGTATGTCTATACAAGCTGTGCACATCCAGAGAGGGAACATTTTCCCCGTTGATTTGTGATGAATAGGTCAACCTCAGTCAGACTGGATGAAGAGTGTCTGGAAGTAAGAGATGTTTTTTAAATTTTGTGCACGTTTTCCAATTTGAATTATGTTTGGGATTCGGCATCTCCACAGCATATGGCAACCACAGTATGCCACAGAGGAGATGGTGGGTGATGTGCAGTTAGTTTTCTGCCATGTATAACACTTTGCTTGTTGGCTGAAATGTTTTGCTCTTTTTTGACCCATGAAATGTATGTACTTGCTTAGTGTGTAAACTTCATGACTTTGTGGAAAACTGCAAATGGGTAGTCTACTGGCTTCTTTTGAAAATTGAATGTCTTCTTTGCAGATTTTCAAAAAAAGGTAGATTTATATGGAGCATTATAATGTTTACTTTTTTTTTTCCCAACAGCTACCTGAACTATAGCTCACTGCTGCTCCTCCAGAGATTTCATGGAGAAGTTGGTTGTTTCTGATGAATGTTCTCCTTGCCAGGACCGCCAGCCTTGTGGATCACCATACTTAATATATATGCATTTATGTCATACCATTTTAGTTTAATAAATGTAACTGTGTTCAATGATTCATTTGTTCACAAATGCTCTCTAAAACAAATCTCTGATGCCACAAATTGACTTTGTTAACTAATTGAGTGACTGTGAGTGCATTTGGTTACTGGATTTTATGAATTGTAGTCAAAGGGCAGAATATAAATGCATGTCACAGTTTTCAGAGGGTTTTTTTTTTTCATTGAAACAACTTATTTGTAATTCACAGTTAGGCAGTTATTTGGGTCGATTTATCACATAAAATCCCACCAGAATACATTAACATTTGTTGTTTTGTGGCAACATGCAAATATGTTAATAAGGTTTTACTATTTTTGCAAGGCATCTGACAGTGAAGGACATCAAGGCACATAATAAACACTTAATTACATTAAACAGGAAAATGCGCAGTCTTCCTGCATAGATAAAGTAGCAAAACATCTGCCCTGTTCCTATTTATACATGTGTTTTGGATGACAAACAGCGCCACCTCGCATTCATTCTGCGCAACGTGCAGGTGCTTGAAAGCACAGGCCTATTATATGTCACTTCCTGCAGAAAGCGTAAGTGCTTAATGCTGAAATGATACACAGTGTACACGAGTGGAGCTTAACTGAGAAAAATCCACTCGTTTGGCTGTTTGTATACCGTCGGGTTTTTAAAATACCAGGCATATAAGACTAAAATATGCGTGAGCCTACAATGAGATGCACTTTATAAGCAATTTGCACGTGTCCATCGATAGAATATTTAAGGACAGGACATATTTAAAACGAACAACCACAAACACATCATCCTTGTTCTTATGGTGTCGTGATGCGACACTGCGCCTCAGCGGAGGATGCGGCAGCGCTGCTCCGTAGCGCGTAAAAGGCCTAACCACCATAATTCCCCATGTATTTATTTATTTTTTTTAAACAGGCAGATGGCGGGGCACATATTACCTTTTCCTGGGCTCTGGTGAGCTTTTTCTGAACGTTGCTGGCCACTTTCCCAGCTGTCAGCCCCTTCCCCAAATTCAGCTCAGCCATCTTGCAGCGCAGATCAGTCTTTGGATGCAGGAGGGAAGGAAATTGATCGCTTGGACCGCTACGGCGACCGCTGAGGCAAATTCATCAATGTCCAAATAGGAAAAAGACGATGACAAATGCAAATTCTATATAATAACTTCTATATAATAATGATGATGATGTGTGGGCAAAGCGTGATTGTAGCCTGTTCTCTGTAATGTTGGGCTGTTGTACGTGTGCGCGCGTCCCTGACAGAGGAGGAGGATGCTGAGCGATGATCTTAAAGGTACAGATACTCTCGTTTTTCCTCTTGTCTGCACGGAAAAACTGAACACCTATGTAAACGTACGCAAAATACAAACAGACAGGGAAAATTCATGAACTCTGTTTTTACTGTTATAAAATTTGAAGCGGGAGCGAGGAGGTATTAATTTCCTTTCAAAATCTAAAGTGAACATGAACTGTTTTTATCAGTTTTTGTTTTTTTTTTCTTTTTTTTACGGTAGTAGTGCGGCATTACAGCTGGAGTCAGCTATTAATATTATATAACATGAAGGATCATGACAGGCTTTTTTTCCCCCCCCTAAAGTAGGCTGTCTCTAAAGAGCAACTCATCTGTTAAATGAATCGGTTATTTGAATTCCCTAAAACATATTTAAACAAGCTATTCAAGTATAGCTGTATAAAATATGTGTTTTCGAAAAGCACAGGTTAGAAAGAATTGCAGTTCGATCAGAATAGATTTAAAGTGTAACTGAAACCTGTAAAATACTCTATGATTTTTATATGTTTTGTATTCTGCTAACGTCCATTCGTTTTATTTTTATTTTATTTTTATTTTCACAACGTTCTTGCGTCAGGTTAATAATAATTAAGACTGATGTCTCAGCAGCTCAAGAATAAAAACCTGCTTCAGCACCACACGAGCTGACAGCTCCGCTTTCTCATCAAGCAGCACTTTGAACCCCCGCTGTCTTTTCTAATAGGGTCAGTATTGAAGCAAGTTCAACAAAACAACAGGTTTGATCTTGCTCAAAATGTGCCTGACTTTCAAACAAGTAGCGAACTTTTCTCCAGGAGGGGGCGCTACCAGCACGTCACTTATTTCCCCCAACCTTTAATTTATTGTGGGGTAGAACAGACAAGAACAAGCAGTGTGATCAGACGGAAAAGAGTAAACAAATACAACAAGCGAAAGTCCACGATGGTTGATCTATTTAATAGTCAAGTGATGAAATTCTATGGAGTTCTGTGTATGAAATTTAAAATGTTAGGTGTAGATAGACAACAGAAGCACTGGAAACCAAAAATAAATACATTTGAATTTTAAATGTGCTGCCTGAAAGAAGGGCACCACATTTGCGGGTGTTTCCATTACCCATTGGTAGCGCTACTGGTAAACAGGTGGAGTTGAGTTAAATTGGAGCTCTCCTAGGTCCTGAACTCACAGGAACAGACAGGCAGCAGTCTGTTTGGTTTTTTTACGTCTCCACCGTGAGGATGCGGGGTGTAATTATAAATTTGTTCCACAGTGGAGCTTGACAGGATGCTTGAGAGAACCTCTGTTTGTACATGAGAGGCGGGGGAAACAAATGGTGTGTGAAGGCGTCGTTTCAGGGTATCACCCAGTCTCCAGTATGACGCAGTGTAAGAAAACAACAACAAAGAAAGACGGAGCCTGTTTCACACCAAAGCAGAACATCTGTTCAGATTGGCTTTTTGTTCTCCATTTCTATAGATTACTGCCTTAAAAATCTCCCACTTTAATTAAGTTACTTGCATGTATCCCCTCTCCCATCCCTCTCTCACTTTCTCCCCCCCTATCACCCTCACAGCTCCCCCATCTCTTTATCCCACAACAATAACAACATTTGGCCACGAGTCACCAAACCCATTCGTTCCCATACACTCTCATGAATAGATCCTAACGTCCCCCCTACTGCGCTGAGGGAATGGTTCAACCCGCTGAGAGGGAGAGAGAGGGAGACTGTGCGCACAAAGGAAGTCCACATTCTGATGGTTCTGAATGGAGATAATTGGGTACATGATGTAAACACGGAATAAATATCGAAAGGCATCGTTCCATTTTTTTTTTTTTTTTTTGCACCCCCCTCTCCGTCCATCCGCCGCAGTTGTCCATTAAAGGTGTTTAATAATATATGAGGTCGTAGCTATACTGGCTGCGCGTCTGTCTGTCTGTCTGTGCAGAGAAAGAAAGGCAGTCAGAGAGTGGGAAACTGAAGCCAAGAGTGAAGGAAAGGGAAGAGGAGTTGAGCTTTGTTTCATCCTCGCTTTGGTGAGGTTTCTGGAGTTTCCCGCGTGCTTTGGAGACGTGATGTTGGACTGGAAAAGCTAACCAAGTTCGACGAGGGACGGGGATTTTTTCTTTTTCTTTTGCGCTTTGGAGCTGCGAAAAATGACAATAGAAGAGAACGCCAATATGTTGCATTTCTGAGGTGAGTGAGATGTCTTTGTTCACCGCAAATTACAGTCATTTCAACTATAGATCGCCGAGCTTTAAATAAAAACGACTTTTGTTTTTAGTCTATTTTTTCTTTCTTTCTTAGTGAATGAACAGTCCACCTTTATCACAGCGCAGCTTCTTAGGCAGGTTTTTTCTGTGGTCAGTACATGCCTGTCAGTTTGAACCGTGGACACATGGCGCATCGGCGCTGCTATTGTTTTTCCCTCTATTGTTTTCAAACCGATGCCTGAGAGAACATTTGGTGCTCCACAACGAGAGAGGTGGGCGCTCCGAGACCACTCACAGGTCACATATCAGTGACAGCCACACGGATACTTTCCGTGTGTGAGGAATACATAATGGAGAGGAGAATAAAGGGTGAATTTGACTCCTCTGGACATAACGGGGTTGGACACGGGTTAAACACAGAAAGTCAAATTGATTCGCGCCTGCATCTATCTATCTATCTATCTATCTATCTATCTATCTATCTATCTATCTATCTATCTATCTATCTATCTATCTATCTATGGTTGGTGGTTAAAATACAAGTACAGTATTCATATTGCTCAAACTTATTCACATTATCTCCCATTACAAACATAAATTAAATGTGTTTTCTTTATTTTATTTTTTTTTTGTGATAGACCAGCATGACGTTAATTGTTGACAATCGGACAAAGACAATCCAAGGTTTGAACATTCTCTATAGTTGAGATGTGTGTAACAGCTTCAGAGACTTAGCCATTTGCCCATTCCTCTTTCCAAAGTAGCTCAAACTCAGGCAGACTGGATGGAGAGCATCTGCCGACAGAAATATGGTCACAGAAAAGAAAAGGGTTTCTTTCAACTGACGCCTCTTAAAAATAAATGGAAAATAAGTGGAACATGACTTTAAAAGTGAGGTCCATGCACAGCAGGGATTTTAGTGTACTTTTACAACCTATTATAAGCACTGATATGAACCATTTCACTGCAGCCGTGGCTTTAGGTTGCTATTGAGTTCACAGCAACCCTCGTGGTTATCATTGTTGTCAGATTCCACCCACCTGAGCCGTGACTTTCTGCAGCTCCTGCAGCTCTACCATGGATCACACCTTACGTCCCATCATGCTACTTTAACACTCTCAACACCTCGCTTGTAACCTCAAGTGGTCAGCCATTTTATTCGCCTTTCTTTATAGTTGACTACTGCGGTATGTACATATTAGGTCCCTTTTGCATACCATGGATGCACTGGATTTTGCCTTGTCTCTTGAGAACCTTCAGAACTGTTTTATACTGCTGTGCATTGTTTTCTGACATAACGTTGAAGCTTTTGATTGTGATGTGGCAAATTTCAACAGTTTCAATTGGTGTGAACATATTTGCATGGCGCTGTGAAAGTTGTGTGCGCATAGTTCTGGTACTGATTTAAACAGAGATACAGAAACAACATAGAGCACAGTAATCAATAAAGCTAAATATGAAAAGGAATAAAAGAACACGTAGGTTTTTATTAAATAGCATTCTGTCAACATCATACATTTGTCTTGGTCTGAAGAAGCCTCAGAGAGCGTCCTGATGTCTGCCTACAGGCATCCTTGCCTTGAAAGTTGTTAAGTTGTTTTCCCTTAAGAAAATTCCCCTTCGGTTTGGGATTCATTTTTTGAGCTGATATTTCTGTTCAAACAGATAACCTTAAGGGGAGTAAATAGATAAGATAATCAATTCTTGGAACACACAATTGACTTTATGTCTCTTTTTTACTGTCTTTTTTTTTTTTTTTTTTCCCAGCACAGCATGTCTAGAATCATTGCTGTTTCACCAGAGCTCAGCTTCTGATCTACAATAATATATTTAAAGACAGGAAGTTCATTAACACTAGGTGTAATTCATGATGTTTCACAAAAGGATCCTCTGCAGTATTATGTTATTATATCATAGTACAAACATTGATATCGCTTAACTAATGACCCATTTGCATCCTAGTGACTTTTGTATTTTAATACTACATTGTTTAGCAAAAAAAATAAAATAAAATAACAAGGCAGAGATACTGGGGCGCACCAAGCAGCTATAGAGATGTGTGACATGTATTGAAATTTAAACCTACGCATTCATCCCCAGTGAGTTTCCCTTATGGCACTTCCCTGACACTTATGTAACCATTACTGTGAGCCAACCAGTCCTCAGACTTGGGACTTTAGCCAAAGCGACAGGCTCAGTTGATGAGGAGTCTGGCCAGATCTGAAAAGCTCCTTGTCCTTATGGCATCTCTCTTTTATCAAAAGTGTTAAATTATATCCTCTCCAAAACACAGTCTGACGCCTGAAGAAAAGGGAGACATTTTTAACATCATAAGTATACAGACGAAATACTTCCATTCCAACACTTTAATGATAAAGGACAGATCTTACCACCAAAATAATTAAAAGTTAGAATCGAAAGCTAATCTGAAAATCGATACAAGGCAACTTATCGTTCATCTGGAGGACATCACTGAGATACTGTCCACTCTGACAAAGAGTTATATTAGTGTGGCAAACACAAGCTAAGAAAACCGATCAGAAAACTGCAGAGACTTGTGTCTAGTGTGCAGAAAACCTTAGTATTTTTCTTCATTTTGCTTTAGGGAGGAGGTCAAATAAGGTGGATGGGGAACATTGAATTGTGTGTGTATATTTGGAGTTTTAGGAGCCTAAGCTCCTAAAACTGATATATGAAGTTTAGAGGAAATAAGTGTTTCTGGTATGTGTTTGTAGAAAGGATGTGAGCTCAAAGACGGGGAAGCAAATTTAACAGAGAAAGGAAATTAAAGTATGAGAGAATAAAGCCCAGAAAGGGTAAAAAGTCAATCCTAATATCATTAACACACACTTGGGCTGATTTTATAAACGCCATTCAAACTGGAAGAAAGGTGTGGCCGGATATGCCTCCGTGTTAGTTTTCAGCTCACAAGTGCGCTCCCTTCACAATATAAGAGCACCTCAGGCTAAATTCTCCACACCGATCTGTGCACCATCAGCATGATGCAGATAGTGTCATGTTGGGAGCCTCTGGTTTCAAACAGCTCATTGAAATCCCAGCGTGGAACAACCCTCTGGCAATGCAGCGCACTATGTTGCATGTTTGTGTTTGGCTGTTATATTGTTGCTGGAAGGGTCTTTGCATACCATCACAACAGACACATTAGTGCCCTTACCTCCTGCCATGTAGCGGGTTCCAGTAATCTAAAATATGGTGCCTTAAAAAGGTATTGAGACTGCTTGGGCTTTTTCAGCTCCTTTTTTTTATGTAACAAGCAGAAACTGTAATGTATACTCTTAAAGAAGGGGTATTATGTAATATCAACAATTCTTTTAGCTTTATAACATGTTATAATGGCAACACAAAATACAAAAACATACCTTGATTCTGTCATGCATGTTTGAAAAAAAAAAATCCTTTGATCTCCCATGGCAACCATTCAGGGGAGTCTAATCACTTGCTCATGCAAAGTGCTGCCTGTTTCCACAAAGCCCCTCCATGAAGCCGGGGTCTCCGGCTGAGCTTCCGCCTCACATAGCACCCCTCCCCCACACAGCTCCTTCAGACTAGCGGCAGCAGTAATTTACACACATCTGGTGGGAGTGCGCACCTGCCGTGCTTATCATAGAATCTACTTCTCAGTCCAAAGCTCCAAAGAACGTAAGCGGCGTAGTGGGAAGGCACTGTTGTGATGACATGGTGAAGGTAGAGTGTCAGAAAGAGCAGGGGTTTCTTAAAGAGACAGAGTCCAAATTAATTTCAAATTATAAAGTCAAATTTCTTTTAAGTCACGTTTGATATATACACCATTGTTTAACTGCTGATGGTAACATAGTTACTTGCTTGTGCTATAAAATGACATGACACTATGTGTCTGGAAAATACACAACACTGTCACTGTAAAATTTTATCAGGCACCAACACAAATAAGCACCTAATTATAAATCAGAAGGACAAGGATACACAGTATGAAACATTTTTTTTTTCCAAATAATTCCAAGTTTAGTGTCCTTTACTCTACCTATACCCATAGATAAAGTCTAGCGCTTACATTAGTCTTCAAAAGTCGCCTAATTAGTTGACCCCACCTATGTCAATCATCTGAAAATGGAATCTGGCAAAACAGCAAATATATCAGGACATCAACAGCCCAAGGAGAGCATTAAAAACTGCTTCATTGTAACTGTGCAGCAGCTACAGAGATCTACAGCTCAGGTGGGAGAATCAGCTACATTAAAGCTGGTGATGTACTTTACAAGATGTGGAAACATCCAGGGGTTCGGATCATTTTGCATGGTATTCTTTTTGTGTTTTTCTAAGCAGATTTGTTCGCTTTTTCAATTTAAATCTAACTGTGACTGGATATTTTTGTTGAGTGATCTCTGTGTGTGTGTGTGTGTGTGTGTGTGTGTGTGTGTGTGTGTGTGTGTGTGTGTGTGTGCGTGTGTGTGTGTGGTGGTGTGATCACAGTGAAACTGGCTAACAAATTAAAGTGGTTGAAGCAGACTTTGCATTGAAATTCAGTTATTCAGGACAGGCCTACAGAGGGACAGGCATGTGAGAGGCACGGTTAATAGAAACAGCAGGTGATGTGAGTGTGTTCCTCCTAGTTGCTCGCCCCTACTCGGCCAAAACCTACTGTTTGTGTTTTGCTCGCGGAAATAAATTGAATTCATTCACTCCAGGTCTCAGCTTGTGTGAGGCAGCCATTAATAGAACAGAATAGTTTATTCACCCCTTTGACAGTTTATATTCCAATTTTACACCCACACAATGCAATTTCATTCCAACCTACTTTTATTTCATGTGCACAAAGAAACCTTTCAGTCCTCTGATTTTATTCTTGCCGGGTACCTTAATAAGTTATGCAGATAAAACAATCCTAGAACAATCCTAGAACTATTCAAAACAGTAGCTGTAGGAAGCTAATTTGTATCTTGTATTTTCCATTAATTGTAATTTTGATCGCCATTTGAACAGTTG